CTGATACTGCTGTGCCCCACGGGCACTTGTTCCCAAACAAAGACACACACGTAATTAAAAATAATAGAAATCAAACCTTAAAGGAGTCTTAAAGTAAGCAGAAGTGTAAACAGTATGTTTTCTAGTTCAAAAAATTTCCCAAACTGGATTTTAACAACTATAAATGAAATATGACATATTTAATCATATCATTTTCAAGAGTTAAAAACAGCATCTTTCCTTTCAAATTTTGAACACATAGCACCTTTTAAAACTCCCATCTAAATGATAGCATAGAAAAATTAACTGCAAACATACAGATAGCTTAAAAAACATTAGACAAGCATGGGATTTACTACTATGTATTTGGATGACTATATCAATATTTTTTAAAGTACCTTAAAATTTATTATTATTAAACATGAATTTTCTGTTTTAAAAGGCGCACTATGAAACCTGCTAAAGTTGATGCTGTTTCTGCTCAAAGTGAATGTCTTAAGGTATTCAACAAACAATTGGCATTTTAAAAACAAACCTAGAAATTAAGTCAGTTTATCTGTGCCTATTTCCCAGCCTCATTCCTGCACAGTTATTACCAGCATCCTGGTCCCTACAGCATTATTTCCCAGAGAACATACATACATATGTTCACACACACACACACACACACACAGAGAGAGAGAGAGAGAGAGAGAGAGAGAGAGAGAGAGAGAGAGAGAGAACCATAATCATCTAGGGAACATACCAACAGACTGATCCAACATTTTGATGGGCTGGTGTCCATGCTAAATTGTTAATGATTTTACTGTTACCTCTACATATAACCACAAAGATAGCTCTTTGATTTTCACATCTCTACCTAAACTATACCAAGAAACCTTATTTGATCATAATATGTAAGTCAAGCCAGGCATGGTATTGAAGTGAAGATACAGGACCAGAAGTTTAAGTTCATTCTCAGCCACAGTGTGAGTTCAAGGACAGTACGTAGCAAATCACCAAAAATTAAATTTTAAATATTTTAAAAATGAAAAAACAGTAGCTATTGCTTCCCATTTACCACAGAGTCCCACAGCATCTAACCCATACCCTCCCTACATTAACACAGCCACTCTGTTACCTCCTTACTCTTTGGTTTTAGAGCATTTACTCAGGACAGGTCAGAATGCTGCTGAGCATGGAGTACACAGTAAGTAAATATCTACTAAATGAACACTGAACCATGAGCATTTTCCACTATTCTCTTTATTCAAATGTAAAATTATCTTAAAAACTACCCAGTGGATAGTAATAAATTAAGGAGCATTGGCACAGATTTAGGGAAAAGCAAGTCTCTCTGGTTTCACAAAAAAGCTAAACCAAGAAAACTCAATATACTAAAAATGGTGTCATAGCCACTATAAAAACATAGCCTTAGACAGCAGCCCTGGGAGACATGGCTACCGTCCCAGTCACCTGAAACAGCGCAGCGCCTCCCCTGGGCCTCCCTCTGCTCTCAGGACGGCTTTTTGATTGCACTGATCCTGTGCTGCCGCCACAGCCTCTCTTCTGGAGACGAGTTGGTTCCCTCAGTCATGGAGAAATGCACTACTTTATCAACATCATCTGCCTGTGAGATTTTGGCAATCCACACTAAAGTCTGGTAAACAGCCACAATTGTTGGATGCTGCCAGAAGGCAAGCACAGACCTACGGCTCAGGAAGCGGCTCTCTGCCTGGCTGATCTATGGCTCTCCGCCTGGCTGACCTATGAACACTTGAGCTTTGTGACCATCCAGACAGTTTCTTCCCAGAAGAGCTATACTGCAGAAAAACTAGCTTTACCCAATGTAATAACTTCTGAAGTGCTATTTAAATGCTAAATTAGGTGAATTCTTACTTATATTTTCTCAGATTCTACATTGTATCTCAAAATTTGGCTCTGCCCAGTATTAGTTTTCTGATTTGTCTTTTATACAGATATATAGGATTGAATATGTGGCTGGCTCTTTCCAATTTAGCATTATGTCAAAAGAAAAGACTCACTTTCCTTGACTCCACACTCACACTCCTTAAAATAAACAGTTCTTCCAGTTTCTACTAAAGTCTATGCTCTAATCCATGGTTAACAACACGGATTCAACCCCCAACACTGCCTCTGTCAGCTGTGTTATCCCACAGGTCCTTTGCCATGTGAAACAATAGTCGCTCACTCATCATCCTGTATGATGTTAAAAGCAACAGCAATATTTAATAGAGCTAATGACAAAACATATCCTATAGCAATACGAGAGGGGTACCGAAGATAATCCATATGGGGGGGGTCAGCCAAGGGCTAGGGCTGTGCCTCCCGGGCTGGGTGTCTGCTAGGTTCTTAGGAGGCTCTGCACTCGATCCCAAGCAGAGGAAGGGAAGAAGATAAAGGTGGGGGTGTTACTCTGAAGTCCTAGGAACTAAGCAATGGAGTTAATCCTCTGACATTCACTGGAAGCTTACTCTGGTCTAGCACTCTTCCAGTACTAGAGAGACATGGATACTAAGTCAAACACGGTTTTGGCCTTCTAAAACTTACACTGCATTGAGGGAGAGAAAATAATTAGAATGCATGATGTCTATAAAGGTGCATATCCATAACCATTAGAAGTTAACCATAAAGAAATAGAAAAGGAGGAGGGAATACCCGATGAGAACACACTATTTATACAAGACAGAGAGGGGCACTTGGATGAAGTGCTTCTCGAGAAGCAACTAAACTAAGAAAGAAGAAGCCATGGAAGCCCACTGGGTTTGCTGCTTTAAGATGACAAATATGGGTGATCGGATGGTCCTACTTACAACAGTTCTTTCCCTGTCCTAAAGTCCTCCACGCGCTCTGTGAGGCAAGGCAGGAAAACAGTCAACAGGTGAGGAGCAGATGGGTAAGGCACCCAGTCAATAATAACATTATTAAGTGGTAAAACTCAAACAATTCTCCCATTCTAGTTGTCTAGTTTCCCTGCACTTGTGAGTGCAAAGAATAAAGATTAAAGCATACTTTAGTCACTGTAGGCATTGCAGTAATAAAATTATATTTTCATGAATAGGAGAAAAATACATGGAAAACAAAAATTGCACCTAAACAAAACAATGCTTTCTATATAGGCTAAAAATAAAGTCTAGAAAGATGAAAATTATATATTTTCTACCTAATTTTACATGGCATATTATATGGTCAAATATATTAACTTCTTACACAATTTAAATCAAGAAATAGATTCAGTAACAAGAATACAAATAACTTCTCAAAGGAAGATATATGGTGATAATACAACCATAACAAAATCCATATCAATTTCTTCTCCACTCATAACTGAAAATTGTCTTTCATAATCTCTATATTACAATTATCTTTAAAAAAGAGTAACATGATACTGTGAATCAAGGGTATAGAAATGTTTACAATAAAGAGATACTAATGTTCATATTTCAAATACTAGGACTTTATATCAGGTTAATGGGTAGATAAGTTTTAAGTTTTTACCTCATAAAACAATCATTTATAGCTCTTTAACCTTCTACGGCTTCCAGCATTCACTTATGTGCATAGCTAGAGCTATAAAATTACGGGATAATCAACTCCACAGTATTAAAGATCTGACAGAAAAATAATAATTGACCATATAATAGTCTAGAGAATCTAATCCATTACCTAAATTCATTTCATGGAAATCTTTATGCAGTGAGGGATGTAATTTTATTTGAGATTATATATCCCTACTCAGGCGCAGATCTGCAAGTTAATTTCTATCATGGATTTGATCTCTAATGTGGACCTGACTGAGCCTACAGATTGTGCAAATATTTGGCTGGCTTGTGAAGTCAAGCATCAAGATACGCAAAAACAGTTTATTTTGTATTAGCCTAACATGGGTAAAATGTGTGTTTTAAATTGAGGTTGATTCATAATAGGAGACACTGGAACTGAAGTTCACACTGCTAATTAAGAACACAAAACTCCTGTCATCTAACTGCAGAAGCTGGTGTAGAAGACGTTAAAGGTAACCTCAGGCTTGTGGCTTCTGGCAAGTCGGGTGGAAGGAGAGAAGAATGAACTTAAGTTAGATGTAATGAGATGAATTTGGAGTAAACGTTGCGGGGATACACTGTAGGGGCAATACGGCGTTAGAACAATATTCACTTTTTTTAATGTATTGATGGTAAAGTCATGAGACTGATCACTCTAAACAGACATTATTTTCCAGACTGACAAGGGAAAACACCGTAACTTTAAAATTTTTTCCAATTATAACAACATTCTTGGGACTGTCACTTCGAATTAAAAGCTGTTCCTATATATATAAAATGCATACATGTCACCTACCAATTTTGATGTCTATCCCATTTCGACACCGTTCTTCAAGTCACACAGTACTCAAAGGAAAGGGCCCCTGCCGTACCCGACCCCATCCTCTACACTCCAAGTGCTGTTGCACTGTGGCCCAGGTGCCTCAGGTGCTGCCTGGAACACACCAGCATTTCTCATGCCCATGCCCATCCCACACGTCTAGGAGCACATCAAAGAATGTGTGATAGATCTTAGGGGTCAAAAATGACCTAAAGCGACCTTTGACCTGGCTGCCCAGGAAGGTATGGCTTCTGAGCAGAGCAGCATAGCTTCAAACTGTTCCAAACTTGCACTGCATTGTAAATCTCATACTCTAACCTCAAATTCTGACTTAACTCCTAATTGCTAGACGTGTTCTTTGATGTGTTCACTTCAAATCTTTCGCTAGAACCTTTCAAAGCATGAATCTTACATCATCTTTCAAGATGAATTGGAAAAGAAAGAAATGAGACCATTATGTATCCTAGCGAATACTGAGCAGAAAGACAATGCATCTTAATAAAACTGAAGCAAGTCTATATTTCAGCTATGCCAGGAGTTAGTGGTATTCACAGAAGTGATTTGTGCTGACTTTAACACATAACTTAAAATTTTTCGTCACTGTGAAAAACGCTAATGAGTATTCTTAAAAAACAAAACAAAACCGGAGTTGAACATACCTTAGGAATAGGATTCAGAAGAACCACCCCAGACTTCTTGGTGATGACTTGTTTTGTTGAGAAGTGGTGATCTATAAGCTGAGGAATATTTGAAAACCCAGTGCCCTCAAACCGATAGAGATTCTGGAGGGAGAACAACAAAGCAGAATTATTAGGAAGCCATTGTTTCAGAAAAAAATAATCTTCATCCATGAAGATTTCTATTTAAGGAGAGCTAACAGTGCACAGCATCATAAACATATTCCACAACACTCAACTCCACACTTGTTAGATAGTAAAAATTAAAAATAGACAGAAAAATGAAACTCTAGTCCACGTCAAATCTTTTGACTGAAAAATTTTCAAAATACATATAACTCATATTATAGTAGGAAGAAAAGATAACAGAACTGAATTGCATTTTACTAAAACGGTGACCAACAAACAAGCAGTTCATTCAAGTTTAGACATCAGGAAGATGTTAGCATGTTTCCCCATGTATGCTCCATTCAATAAACGTTCAGTACCAAAAATACTGTCCAAAGTTTGAGGAAGCCTGATACAACAATAAATAACTTAATACCTAAAATCATTTTTTTATTTGCAAACATAACAGGTTTTTCTACAACAGGACTCCAATGTAGTTTTGGCCAATAAATAAAGATTCAAACATCATTTGTATAAGAAATGAAGATAAAGAATAAAGAGTATCAATGCTAATGCCTTCAAGATCAGCAGGCTCAGAGCTTTTTAGAATAGTGATTTTGTATTTAAAATGTATGTGCCATGTGAACACATGCCATGAGTGTGGATGCCCATGGAAGCCAGAACTAGCTAGATTTATAGGTAGTTGGGAGCCTAATTGAACTCTGTCATCCACAAGAATTGCATATTCTCTTAAACCGGGTGGTGGTGGCACACACCTTTAATTCCAGCACTTGAGAAGCAGAGGCAAGTGGATCTCTGTGAGTTCGAGGCCAGCCTGGTCTACAAGAGCTAGTTCCAGGACAGGCTCCAAAGTTATAAGTGAAACCCTGCCTCGAAAAAACAAAACAAATAAGCAAACAAACAAACAAGCAAACAAAAGAATAGCATACTCTCTTAATGGCTGAGCCATCTCTCCAGTCTCAGATCTTAGCATGATTCACATTTCCTGTCAGTAGGTAAGAACATTTTTCTCACACTCTGTCATGCTGTTCCCGGATTTCTTACTTAAATAGACCAGTTGTTAGGTATAAGAATCGACAGCAGTAAATACAGAAGGAACCCAGTAGCCACACTTTTCAATGCCAGGCGACTGTGATGCAATGTATTAGAAGCCTCTGTGTGGTTCTCTCCTGGGCTTAACTAAACAGATAGGAAGTACGCAGATACAGATGTAAATACACATTTTAAGGTAACTATCAAGAAATCAAACTTTCTAATCTCATAAAACCAGAGAGGAGAAGCAGAAGTGACTGCTATAGGCTGAGAAGGAGAGTGTGGGAGAAACAGCAGGAAGCAGGATGAAACAGACTAAACTTCCATGGAAAGGGAGGCTACATTCAGATGTTCCACGGTACAGAGCAGTCGGGAGATGAGTGGTGGAATGTCACAGAGGAGCAGCATGCACTAATAACACCAAGCCCAACAACATTTTTGACAAATAAACGATTTTTACATCTTCCTCTTTCGATTTACTCTTAACACAGCAACTAGGGTGTGGTGCCCCTAAGGATCTCTCCTTTGTTTTGCTTAAAAGTCTCTCTTCCCTCCACATAAGGACAAAGAGGGAAGCTAATCTGATCTCACCACTGTCTCTCAACTTATCTCTCACCACTCCTCCCTGGATCCTTAGTCTCCAAACCCTGCAATTACCTTTTTGCTCTAAAATATGATATGCACTCCTTCCTTAGAGAGATTGGCTACATGAATTAATTTATAAGACAGCCAGCCCCACAGGTAATATCTCCTTTACTGGCTTCTCTGTCAGGCCTTCATCAAATTATCTTTTCTGTGACGTTAACTCTGGCCACCTACACAATATACAATCTCCACTTTCACATCCTAATTTATCACCTCCTTTTACTTATTGACATTTTCTTCTTAGGATGTATGACTATAATCCTTTTGACTCTATCATCACATATTATTTTATTTATTCTGAAAGGTGTGAGTGCACCCACAAAGAACAGAAAAGGGTGCTGATTCCCATAAGCTGCAGGTACAGGTGGTTGTGAGACATTTAGCATGGACGCTGGGGGACTCCAACTCGGGTCCCTCTGGGCTATCCCTCCAGCCCCAATTTCACTTATGTTTTTTATTATCTGTTTCCCTTCTAGAATGCAGGGATATTAGGCAACAAATTTGTTCACTTTCTGCTCAGTGTGATAGCCCTATGCTCTATATATGGCGTGACGTGTAGAAATAAATATACAGGAATGACATGAATGACTAAGTGTCATAAAGTAAACAAAGCAGACAGCTTACAAATGGACCAAGGAAAGTTCACACACTCATGAGCATGAGATATTAAAGTATAATGTTTAATAATAAGTCCTAAATTGAAGCCCATACAGAATGAAACTTCAAATCTACCCTGATATAAACTTCAGAGTAGCCATCCTAATGATGGCTGCATGAGCACTATAAAATGGGAAAAAAATCCAACTATACAGGATAAGTCACAAATTCAGAACTGTTATGCAAAAAACATGTTGGCTTTTTATTGCACATGAAGACTCACAGCATGAATTTAAAATGTGGCTTAGCGCCTAGAGATTACAATAATAAAGTTAAATAATGCAGAGATTTAATCACCTCAAAGTGAACTTGATCAATATCTAATCTCTTTCCATTTCCTAATTTAAAAACATAGGCTATTGGCCAAACCTTTGTTCGTATATGAACTACAATGTGATACTTTCATTCATGGCCGTGTCAGGAAGCAGGGTATTCAGGATGCAGCAAAGCCATCACTTGAAGCTTTGCTCATTTTGTTATGGTTAGTACATAAAAAGTCTTCTATTTTGACATATATAAGGCATTGTTGTCAATTATGTTCTACCAACTATGCCATGAAAACCTGGACTTATTCCTACTTCAAATAATATCTCTGGACCACTGGACCTGTTGATGGACCACTCCCCCTTTCGCACTCCCTACTCTTCCCAATTTCTGCAGTGACCACTCAACGCTGGGCTTCCACACAGCCAGCCTCTTCCACTTGGATTATTTCACACAACAACATAATCCCAGCACACCCGCATTATAAACTATGACAGGATTTCAAACATTTTGTGGCTGAACAGTATGCCGTGGTGCACACTCAACACCGCCTTCTCTTTATCCAGCTACTGGACATTTAGGGTGACACTGACTATTCTGAGTAGTGTAAGGGAAACAATGGAAATAGATCTTTTTAACATGTTCATCTCAATTAGCCATGCGATCCAAGGAACAGGGCTTCTGGATCATGTCATTCTGTGCTCAGATTTTTGAGGAAGCTCCACAATGATCTTTATAATAGCTATGCTAATTAACATTTAAACACATGCAGATCTTTTTTTCTCCCCCCTTCATTTCCTCACAGTTTTTACTCTTAGTTTGTCTTCTGAAAACAGGCATTCTCACAAGAGCAACATGCTGTCTTGGTGGTTTTAAGTTATATGATTAGACATGTTGAACATCTTCCATGAATGACTGTGGCCATTTGTACTTTTTCTTTTAAGAAAAAAATCTATGACAGAAATATTACTGTGGAAGGGTGTAACTCATGGGTTCACACCCTTGGACAAGGAACTACAGACAATGGGTGACGCTTGAGGAGGTCAGCCTCTCCTGGAGACGAGCCCTCTAGATGGCTGTCCAATACAAAGTGGTCAGGCCTGAATCACATGCACATAAATAACAAGAAGACGTAGCAAGCTGTATTTATAGATTGCGTACACAAGTGTATGTATGCATGCGTGCGTGCATTTAATGGGGGAAAGAGGCTATCAATTTGAGAAAGGAGGGAACATAGAATAAGATGGAAGGAGAAGACTTAGGAGGGTCTGGAGGAAAGAAGGGGAAGGGGGAAAGTGATATAATTATATTCTTAATAAATTTTATAAAAAATAGAAAATTGCTCAAAAGTCTATTCAGATCTTTCTTCTTTTTAAATTAGTTTCTTCAGTTTTGTGCTGTTGGGGTACTAGAATTCCTTATACATTGTGGGAATAACCTCTTCAGCTGCATACTTTGAATATGCTGTCTTGATTGTGTTAATCTGTCTCTTTACTCTGCTGATGGCTTCCTTTTCATGCAGAAGTTTTGCTAGTTTGACATAAACACAGCAAACAATTTTTTGGTGTCTGTATTTGGGGACATATCAAAACACCAATTCCCAGGCCAATATCTTAAGGCATTTTCCCCTGCTTTCTTCCAGCAGCTTCATAAGTTATGATTTTATGTATAAGCCTTAATAGATTTGATATTTGTTACTGTAAGAGAGAGCAGTTTCATTCTTATACATATGGGCATCTAATTTTCCCAACACCACTTACCTAAGAGCCATGGTGTATTCTTGGCTCCAACAGAAATCAGCTGGTCACAAATGTGTGGGTTGGTTTCTGCCTCTCTATTCTGCTCACTGGAATATAGTTCTTTCGATTTTGCTTTGTTTTGCTTCAAGACAGGTTTCTCTGTAGCTTTTTGGAGCCTGTCCTGGAACTCGCTCTGTAGACCAGGCTGGTCTCGAACTCACAGAGATCTGTCTGCTTCTGCCTCCCAAGTGCTGGGATTAAAGGCATGTGCCACCACTGTCCGGCTGGTTCTTTCTGTTTTTAATGTCACTTTAATGACTACAACTTAATCGTACATTTCTAGGTCTGGTTATGTGATGCCTCCAGCATCTTTTTGCTCAAGATTGTTTTGGCTATCCAGGTTTATCTATAGTCTCTTATGAACTTTGAAGTTACTTATCATAATTCTTTGTTGATGAGTCTGTATATCATATGGGGACATTTTAGCTATAGTGGTCTCCATGCATATAGGATATCTATGTATATATCTGTATGTTTTTCAGTATCCTTCATCCATGTTTTACATTTTCTTTTCCTTTCACTTGTCTGTTAAATTTGTGGTGTTTATGGTTGTTCGAAGTGGAACTGTTATTTTCACTTTTTTTGGGTAGGTAGGTTTTCTCAGCATACAGAAATATGATCACTACTGAGCCTTTCAGCTAAGATCAAGTGCATGCAGAAATACAAATGTGTTTGGGGTGCCGATTTGGATACTCAATTTTATAGAACTCATTAGTTCCAATAGGTTTGTTTTTTTAATGTCTTTTAGAAATCTCTGTACACGAGATCAGGTCATCTTTTAAGAGGGGCAAGTTGCTTTTTTTCTTTATTATTCTGGATTTCCTTTACTTCTTTTTCTCTTGCCAATTGTTTTGGCAAGGGCTTTCCATCCTATGTTGACAAAAGGCAATGACAATGGGCAACCTTGTCTTGTTCCAGACTTTAGAAGGAAACTCTCAATGACTTCTCCATTCGGTATGGAATCACCTTCACTGGGCTGTGGTTAATTCTTTCCACCCTGAATTGTGTAGGCTATTCCACCATGAATCAATTTTGAATTTTGTAAAATGCTCTCTTAGTGTCTACTTAAATTTCCCTCCTTACGTTTTTGCATTTGACTCTGTTACTACATCAGCTATTTTACACTAAAGCATTCCTGCATCATTTGATCACAGTGGATGATCTTTTCTAATGTGCCATGAAATGCAGTTTGCCAGCATTTTATTTAACATTTTATGTCTATGTTATTAAGTGGTATTGGTCTATAAATTTATTCTGAGATTGTTTCTTATCTAGTATAGGTATGTATAAGTTTTTAAGGATTCTTTTTCAATTTTTGAAATACTTTGGGAAAGCTGGCACTAGTCTTGTAAATATTGGCAGACTTCATAGGAAAGCCTCGAGTGTTGGGTTTTTCTTTGATTAATTTGAAAAAGTGATTCAACGGCAAGTTTACTTTAACTAATAAATATTTTATTGTCATTTTAGTAAATGTAATCGTTTATTACTGATTCAATCTCGGGGCTCATTACTAGTCTCTTCATGTTTTATATTTATAAACCAGAATGGTAGGCTATAGCTCTAATTCTATAAAGGCTGAGACAGAAAAATCCCAAGATCATGGTTAGCCATGGGTACACAGTAAGACTGTCTCAAACAACTGGGGGGGGGGGCGTTATATGCATTATTCAAATTTGATAATCTGCATACCACAGAATTTATCTGATCTTCTAGATTTTCTTATTATTCACGCATGGGAGAAAGGCATGGTTCCTGTGTGAGGCAGAGAACAATTGTCAGGACTCAGTTTTCTTTCCACCACATGAGTCCAACAGGCTTGGTGACAAGTGCCTTTACCAGCTGAGCAATCTAACCAGCGCTGATATTTTCCCCGTTTTTGTACTTGTTCACAGTACATCTGTGCTTGTTGGCAATGTCGGCTGCAATGCCTTACACTCACCTCTGACAGTGAGTACTGTTCTTCACTTAGCTAAAGGCTTTTTAAGTCTATCTTTTCCAAAAGCCAACATATTCCACTTGTCCTTGTATTTCCCAAGTATTCCATTTATTCCTGCTCCGATGTTTAATATTGCCTTGTACTGATCTGGTTCTTGGTTTTCTAGCTCCTTAGGAAGCACCAAAGGTCTCCAGCTAAAATCTTGCTACTGTCTTATGAATGTTGGTGCTGGTTGCTAGGGCTTTCCCATTGACAATGGTGTTTGCCATAGTCTGTAAGTTTTAGTGTAATATATTTCTATTTGCCTCAAAAATCTTATATTTCTCATTTAATGTCTTCGGTGACTTGTTTCCTCAAGACAGTATTTGACTTCCAAGTTTCTAATGTTGCTTCCAGAATGTCACTCACTGTTGATTTCTAGATTTATTTCACCGTGGTCAGAAAGGATACTTCGATTTTTTTTTAATTGTTAAGATATTTTTTTGTAGCCCTACATATGATTTGTTCTAGAAAATGCTCAGGGTGCAGTTTAGACGATGGCTGCTAGATGCACTGCTCTAAAATGTCTTAGGTTCATTGCGTCTGAACATGGGCTGACTCCAATGTTCCTTTGCTGATTATCTAGTTAGATGATCTGGTCACTGATGAAGGCTGGGTACTGAATTCTGCCATTATTATATTACAGTCTATCTTTCCCTTAAGATTTATTAGTACCTCTTTTACATATTTATCTAACTATTATATTTCATATATTAAATACCACCTTTAATTTTGTGTTAATTTTATGTTGTTGCTGACTCATATGCTTAGTCCTAACATAATACTCAATAAATATTTCCTGAAAAGATGAACAAGAGAATAAACAATGCCATTATAGGAAGATTTTCAAAGTTTTATTTTAAAATATATTTCATCTTAATTTTAATTTATCATTGCCTGTCAATCTAAATTTTATGACTCAGTCAACCCTAAGTTCAAAATGATATGTATACAAGTTACTAAGTCCCTAAAATCCTACAGTTTCTGTTTATGTCATGGCTTGATCTTTCTATATGGCATTTAATATCAGTCTTGTGCCGCAACAGAAACTCAAATACTGTGGACAGGCATTTTCAAATGCAAGTAATTTGAAACGATGGAGTGAAGTAGAATAAAAACAGGCAACAATTCCTCTATTTGCAAAAAAAAAGAAACAGCCACTATAAATTTCTCAATCAGTAAAAGCAAAAATGTCAAAATTACTATTCATCTATTGAGTGCTTAATAAGGACAACATACAAGGGCATGGTTTGGCAACGGTTTGGTAATACTTGGGGCCTGCAAGACGGCACTGGGTAAATGCATTTGCTGCAAAGGCCTGGAGATCTGAGTTTGAGTCCCCAGAACCCGCAGGTAGGAGGAGAGAAACAGCATCTGAGAGCCGTCATCTGACCTCCATGCATGAGCGTAGTAGTCGCACCTGCCCCTTCCCCCAACAATGATACACACACAATAATCATAACTTCTTAAAAGAAAGCAGTTTAGCAATTCTAAATACTCAAAAAGTAAATTAGTTTTAGAATAATGTGAATATGTCATTTATATTTCTTTATAATTTTATATTTATTGTTTTTAATACCAAATGGTATTATAAAAAACAGAAAAAGATCAATAATGAAAAGTATTTCACTCAATAAAATATATCATAGCTTGAAACTAGCTATAGAGGTGCCTTCAAAAGTACATGTTTCATAATCCTGAGTTTTACTATAGGGAGGGAAATACACGGTATTTACATTACTTTTGTTTTTAATTTAAAATACGTTAGTACTCTAATTCAACATCTTATATATTTACATTTAAATTTAATTTTATTAACTTTTAAATATGATATTTTCTCATTAAGATTTAAAGTTTTAATCCGTTTTAGAGCATCATATTTATGGAACAAAGGAGAAATTCCAATGTTAAACTTTCTTATAAAGCAACCATCAGTACATTTCATGTATACCACAGTGGATTCCATCAGTAGATACCCAGGAAGTAGACTGGGAACGTACATCGACAAACTGGATGATGAAGTGCCTCCTCTGGCCATCTGAGTACACGGAAAGGACATATTCACCAGGTTTCCCATGGCTCTCGCGTACCAGGAAGTCTCCTTGCTGCCTCAGAAGCTCTTGGGCCTCTATCCTAGGGATTGCACCATGATACCAGTCATGTTCCGCCAGGGGCTTCTCACTCATAGAGATCATGTCAGAAAGCTGAACAAGTGTTTTAAAAAACAAGTTAGAAAAAAAATTAATTTGTTCGAATAAAATTCACTGCAAGTAAAAATACTTCTTACATATGATCTGATTTCATCAGTCAATCAAAAATTAAATGATAATCATATTAAGAAAAATATCATCTGAAGTAGCAGGACCAAAGTCTAGCGCAAATACATGTCCTTCAATACTTTCTCTACACCATGCACTGGAACATCAGCATTTAAGGTTTACAGTCCTATTCTTATTCCCCTTATCATAAAATAAACCTGTTTAACAATATTCATCAATCAGAAAAATTATGAAGAAGTACATTCAGAGGAATTTATAACAAACACATTAAACCTGCTTTTTCACTGAATTAATTAACTCTGGCCTACTCAGATTGTGCACTGTACATGATGGTAGGCAGGAATGGGTCTAGGCTTCGACCTTGAGCTGCCTGGCTAAGCTATTCTCCCTCACTCCTTCACCTTACTTCTGTTAAGCCATTACTCTGTCACAAGGTTGGTGTTGGTTTTGCAAAACTATGCGGAGAATTGTCTGTATTCTGTCAATCTGTTTATTTTGAATAAACACTGATTGGCCAGGCAGGAAGTATAAGCGGGTCAACCAGACAGGAAGTAGGGGCGGGGCAATGAGAACAGGAGAATGCTAGGAAGGAGGAAGCCCATTGCTCCCATTCCTGCCCAGACCACCAAGAAGCAAGATGTAACCTGCCATCTGTGAAAGGTACCGAGCCATGTGGCTAGCATAGATAAGAACAATGGGTTAACGTAAGCTACAAGTGCTAATAAGTAGCCTGAGCTAATGAGCCAATCAGTTTTATAACTTATGGAGATCTCTGTGTGATTTTCTTTGGGGCTTGCCGGCTGTGGGGTACCAGGCAGAACAGAAACCCCAACAAGCAAGGCCCTTCATGTTACAGCTATGGCAAATAAAGCCTGGGGAAAGAAGCATCAGAGAAAATGAGCAGCATGCAAACACAACACATGTGGAAATGATTATAAGTCATGAAACAGGAAGAAAAGCAAGTCACCTACTGTTTTAGGAGGTTACATGCTCATACTAAAGAGCAGAAATAAGCAAAGGCTAGCTATGATGCCTTTAAATTCCAGAAATTAGTGGTGATGAAATTAAACATGCTATGGTCACAATTTCTCTTATATTCTAGTTATTCACAAGACTAAACTGCCCTGTATTACTGGAGTATTTCATGGGTAGGGTATAACATTTATACAAATTATTATAGTTCTCAGAATACAGTATTGACGATCCCCATGAAAACATACTATAAGTTTGAAAAAAAAATATCAGAATCAATAATAAAGTTATAGTTTGGATATAAAATGTCTCCCCAAAGCCCTGTGTTGAAGACTTTGTTGATGTCGGATATCCTTCTGTATGTGTTGCTTTTATTAGTTGATGAATAAAGTTGTTGCAGCCAATGGCTTAGCAGCACAAAGTCAGGCAAGAAATTTGAACAGAAATATATACAAAGAGTAGGCAGAGTCAGAGAGACACCATGTAACTGTCAAATGAGTATCATGCTGTCTCCGGTAAGCCATGCCACTTAGCATTTTAAGAAAAGCTCCTGGTAAGAAAATGGTTACAGATACGCAATAAAGACAGATTCAGACAAAAATAAACCTCTGAATAAGTCACAGTGTGTTTAAAAAATGTATGTAAGTTTGGGTGAGAGAAGAAAAAGAGTACAGACAGAAAGAGAAGTACAGACAGTTAAAGATTAAAGGATCAAAGATAATAAAATAAATATTAAAAAGTAATAGAGTAAAGAAAAATAAGCCACGTAAAGATGGAAAATACACACAGAGTCTGGATTATGTATATCACTGTGTTTTCTTTGCATTTTTTGACTGCAGAGTGATATTTGATTCTGGGGCCTGCTAAACTAAACCAACATAAAGGTATCTTGACTTCAAAATTTGAGTCTGAGGATGTTAATTTGGAAAAGAGATTCTGCTTTTGTTTCCACAGAAGATGAGAACACGTGGATTCCTTTCAGACTAATGTGGTTTGATGAAACAAGACCCTCCCCAAAATGTTTTAGCGACCCCTAAAAACACTTCACCCAACAAACAGTAAGAAGTAGTTTGGAGAAAACTATGCCCAAATTCCAAAAAATGATTGTTTATAAATGTTTATTTTCATTTAAATGGGGTTGATTATAAGTGATTAATGGTCACAGTCAATTTCTTAAAAAAGGGGGGATATGATATATAGAGATGAACACTTTATATTGGTATGCATTTTTGGTCTACTGATACAAATTTACAGTCGATTTTGTCACACTGTGTATATGTATTTCTGCTCTTTTTTATGGTATTGTGTTTGTACAGCTCATTTAAAAATGAAATGTATAATTAAAAATTACAGATTAATAGTCATTTATAATAGTCAAACTTGTAGTCATGTTAATTAGGCTTTCTAGATATACAGAGAGATATTTCAGTTAGATAGAAAACCTTCAACACTTCAAAGACCTACAGAAAATGACATTTAAAGGTTTTAAGAACTTAGACTTTTCTCAACAGTGAAACATGTCTGCTTCTGGCAGCACCAATAACTTCAAGAGAAAGATGGGCATTAAAGAGGCTCCTTATGGAGTATGCTAGTCATTTGAGCAAGAAACTGCTTTGACCTGGACTACCTAATGGTATTGCTGTATAAACTGGACATGCAGGACCCAAGGAAAAATGACTGCTAAACTTTCCAAAAGATGGGATGGTCCTTCAGAGTTCCTGCTTCAAAGAAGAAACTGCCAGACATTCTCAAGGACACAGAAAAAATCAACTGATGAACTTTGCCAGTACAAGACAGAACAGATCTTCAAATTTCCTTCTTCATGGAAAAATCTGCCAGATACTATGGGCCTGAAAGCTGAATATAGATGCCCCAACATTACAAAAGAATGCTGGGTGGCTGTCCAAGCAGCGAGAGGTCTCTGTCATTTCTAAAAGTTTGGAAGTTGCTTACAATGCACTTTCTGCTTAATTAAGTAATACTATATCCTTCTCAGATCTTTGATGGAGTTAAAGACAGATAGTTATAGTTTTCCTTATTTATGATAAAAGATAAATTAGACATAAAACTTTAGACTCACAAAGATCGCATAGATGATAGAGTATTTTCCTTAATTTGCCAAACAATAAATGGGTTAAATATTGTAACTATAATTTCTGCTTGATAACTGTTTTGTTATGTGTAATTTTACTATGTTAAAGTTAAAACCTTCCTTTTTAATTAGACAGAAAAGGAGAGATGATGGGGGATATCCTTCAGTATATGTATTGTGTTTATTGGTTGATGAATAAATATGTTTCAGCCAATGGCTTAGCAGAGTAAAGTCAGGCGGAAAATCTGTACAGAGATATAGAAAGAGTGTAGGCAGAGTCAGAGATACGCCATATAACTGCCAAAGGAGTAACAAGCTGTCACTAATAAGCCACAGCCTCATGTCAATACACAGATTGATAAAATAGGTTAATTTAAGATGTAAGAGCTAGCTAGGAATATGCCTAAGCTATTGGCCAAACAGTGTTGCAATTAATACAGTTTCTGTGTGATTATTTGGGTCTTGGCAGCTAGAAACAAATAAGCAGTTTCTGCTTACACTTTTTAATAGGCTCATGGTGAGTGGAGCCAAAGAAAAGAAGACAGACCATGTGGTGGCATATCCTTGAAAGGACCCCCATACAGACTCCTTCATGGCTGGTAAAACTCTGAGCATGTACCTCCTATAAGTGCTGAAATGAGTCTCTCCCCCTTGGAGTCATTTATCTCATGCACTTTGGAACAGAAAAGGAAAGCTGACTAAGAAGATAAGTGGAAACATACAAACACCTACACATGAGGATTTATAGGCTGATATTATGAACTTTATGATAACTAGGTAGTAAATGAAAACTAGTTCTGAAGATAGCTTTCACTTATCTGTACCACTGAAGAGGTCTAAAATATGCACATTCAAGTCCATCATACCATTACCCCAAATTCATCTTACTGGTGGAAAAAAGAAAATGTCCCAAATAGGCCTCAAGCATATTGTACATTTTGGTGTTTGTTCTTCCATTTATGACACTGAAATTTTAAAGATATGTACATGATGTGGCAATTTTGTGACAATTTTTCATAAATATAGCAAGCCTTTTTTTTCTTTTAGTGTCAACAACAATAAAAGTAATAATATACAACAAACGAACCACCAGTAATCAAGTAAAGGGCACTACATTTAAAAGTGAGGGTGAAATCTGTCCAAAGTGCTTTGTGAAACTGATACCAAGAGCTGATCATTTCTTAAGAAGGTAATTAGAAAAACTGGATTTTTGTTTTCCATATTTATCACAATATATTAATATAGTAAAACCTAGTTTGTTTGTTTATACTATAGTAGGAAACTATTTCTAAGTCTTTCCAACAGCAAAAGTACCCAAAGATGAGGAATCCACATGATGTCATTCCCAAGGGGCCTTCCTGATGGAACAGTGGCAGAAGCAAGGATACCATAGTCTATTCTCTCTCCCTAGTCAGTCAACTGTCCAGAAAAACTGGAAGAGTATGGAGAACTTAGTAACTCTGAAAGGGATTTGAAATATGAGGTTCAACTAACACCAAAGAAGTTATTGATAGATTTGAAGATGAAGTATGTTTGGGAGGGAAGGGGGAATCATCTTGAGAGAATAACTCAGTTTTGTGCTTAAGAAAACAAATTTACTTTATTTACAAAATGTGCCCCAGTATCAGTGACAGCACATTGTCACTAGCAGTCACTGGCAATGTCACGTCACGCATTTCAGCTAAAGTGTATGGAGATCACTGCAGTAATCACTATGTAGGCATACTTCAGCAGAATACAAGACGGTGACACAATGTGCTTATTTTAAACTTCTGAACTAACACATGGAACAGATTTGTCTCAGACAACAAAAATTATACAAAATTAATCCCAATAAGCCCTTCATGAAAATTATATATATATATATAATACAAGTAATTCAAAACTTGCGACTCAGAGAATAACTTTGATGATCCTGAATATGCCCATGCAGATGAAATTAGCATATGACTATACTAACATGAAACTTTTATATTTCCTTGTTTCTTTCTTTTTAACACTTTAAAAATGAAAAAAAGTAAATTAAGACCTTAAGAATAATAGAAAACAACTGATATTTAATATGTGTTTAATTTTAATTTGTCTTGTTATGGAAATAACAACGTTATTCTAGACACAAAGATGAACACTGGAAACTACATGAGAACAATAACATTCCGCGCATGCTGGTGGTGGGAAGTATATATTATAATACTAATACTGAACTAATAAATCCTTAAACATAGTTATAATATAGTTTTCAAGAAAAATGCCAACAAATGATTCTATATAAAATGTAGCAAATATATTTCACGTTCAAATTCTCATTGAAAGGTTCCCCTCATTCCAAAACAAGGTTTCTCTGTGTCACAGCCCTGACTGTACTGGAACTCAAACTCAAGAGATCTGCCAAGTACTGGGGTTAAAGGTGTGCACTACCACACCCATCTCAAAGGTTCTTAAAATTAAAATAATACCTATGTCAATACTTTTAAAGAGACAGGATTGACTAATTTAAACCTTTTGATCTTTAAACAAAAATGTTTTGGATTAAACAACAATAATTTGGACCAAGACTTATAAGAATCTGATTTTAAATAATGTTTTTTTCAAAGAGTGCTATAATTGTGGGGACATTATATAGATCAGAGGAGTAATATCAGTTCTCACATGATTGTGACATGGAACAACGGGGCTGCTCAGCCACACATTAGACCAAGTCTATATTAAAAAAGCCTTGGAGGAAGGGCAATATTCCTGGTATGGTTGGAACAGGTCTCTGTAATTTCAATATGGCTTGAGAGCTTTCTAACTCAGATGAACCATTATGATTGCCAGGAGCTTGAAGAGGTGCAGCTAATACTGCCCAACACCTCTTTCTCTGGCTTCAGAAGCAGGGCCTGGCAAATAGTTCTCAGTGAAAAATGAAAGTCTTGGAAAGATGGAAAAATACTGGATGAGGAGCTGGTCCCAGGCTCTGGGATATAAATGATGTGCTATTTGGCTTCCTTCATATGCTGAAAAAGCACTTACTGGGAGCTGATGTTAAAATGTGACCTTAACCAAACAATAGACAGTGATAGCTGACACATCAGACACAACACATAGTTGAGCCTGGTTCATCTCAGCTACCTACCTCATGTCCTTCCTTCCATCAGGATCCAAATATCCCACTGGAGTGCTTTAAAGTTACCTCCATAATTTAATCATTCATTAAAAAGCACGCAGACTAAAAGCATGTAGACTAATAGCTATGACAGTTAAAAACACTATTATGATAAATTTCATATATAAATGAAATATATATGCTTTATTTTATCTAAAATTAAACTTTAAAAAATTGTCAGATGTGGTGGCACATGCTTTGAATCCCAGCACTAGGGAGGTAAAGCTCTGTGAGTTCAAGGCCATGCTTGTCTACAAAGTGAGTTCCAGGACAGCCATAGCTGTGACACAGAGAAATCCTGTCTTGAAACCCGCCACCCCCCTTCAAAAAATAAACAGTGATTCATAATTGCTGATTTCTAAATATTGTAAACAAATATGCTTTCAAATGAAGAAGAATGAACTTAGACCTCCACCCCATGCCACATACAAAATCAACTCCCCTTGTTTCAAGGCATATGTGAAAGTCTGTGAAGGAAACAAGGACGAGTATTTGTCATCATCTTGAGCTGGGCAGTGCTTTTTACATATGACATCAAAGTCACAAAAAGTAATGTGTTCTTCATCAAAACTAAAAGTTGTGTGTGACACTATCAAGAAAGAAAGAAAGAAGGAAGGAAGGAAGGAAGGAAGGAAGGAAGGAAGGAAGGAAAGAAAGAAAGAAAGAAAGAAAGAAAGAAAGAAAGAAAGAAAGAAAAGACAGACAGAAAGGCAAACTTACAGGCTAAGAAAAAAACATTTGTTTACTATACTATGTGTATAACAAGAAAATGTTTCCCCAAAACAATTTAAAACTCATACAACTCAACATCTACAAAAAACAAGCTTACTGCAGTGGGTACAGTTCACTGACAGAGTGCTTATACAGCACGCAAACCTGGGATCCAGGTTCAGTTCACTGACAGAGTGCCTAGCATGCATACAAACCTGGGATCCAGGTTCAGTTCACTGACAGAGTGCCTAGCATGCTCAAACCTGGGCTTAATCTGCAGACCATCAAAAAAAAAAATACACACAAAAAAATTTAAGCATGCAAAGATTGTAAATAGAATCATCTCTAAAGAATACATAAATAGCAAATTAGCACATGAAAAATTTATTATTAGTAGTCATTAGAAAAATTAAAATAAAAATGATAATGACAAACCAGTCACTAAAAGCTTGCAATTAAAACAAAACAGTAAAACTAAACAAAACGAGGAAAACAACAAGCATTGATAATTATGTGAAGAAATAGTAAGTTTCAGACATACATTGTTAGAAATGTAAATATCGCTGCCAATGTGGAAAGCAGACTGCTAAAATCTTAAATTTAGAATCCCTGCATGACTCAGTAATTCTACTACTAGGTATATGACAAAGAAAAATGAACTCATAGTCACAAAGAATGAAAAATTTTCACAGTAAAAAGCCACAAAGTAGAGTTTACATATAATGATAAAACTAATGTTTTATCAGATGATGAAGAGACAAAATGGTATAATAAATCTAAGTAATGAAATATAAATCTAAGCAATGAAATAATATTCAATCTTATAAATTAAAGATTGCCACATAGTACATGAATGAACCTTTAAAATATTATAGTAATAGAATGAAACTAAATATATAAAGCCTATTGCTGTATGACCCTTTGCAGGTGAAAGGCCCAGCAAGAGGCCTAGTCATAAGGATATGCGGTACCAGGAGATGAGACAAGTGTGGAAGTGAGGCTATCTTCTAATAGCTGTGGAGGACCCTTATGGGGGACTAACATTCCAGCATCCCGTGGAGCACCCTTACGGGGGACTAACATTCCAGCATCCCGTGGAGCACCCTTACGGGGGACTAACATTCCAGCATCCTGTGGCGATTAAGGCTGCACAGCATAGTGAAAACACTGAAACCTCCTGCTGTACATATAAAAACAAGAATTTTATGTTCTATTAGGTCTATCACAAGAAAACAAACCACATGCTAATATGGCAAGGGTTTTTCTATAGAAAAGCATTTAACGTAATCAAGAATTTTTAAATATGACTGTCTTTAAATAGTTATTCATTTTGGATTCCCAGGCTTATCATGCGTAACAATCACATACATATTAAAACTCGAGGCCTTGATTAGCCTTATGCTTGAGTGGAGACAATAGATAGCACTTAACACCAGAGAACAGTTCCGAGTGGTTGTTAAGGCATTTCTTGTTAAAGACATAACTCTAGGATGCTCCACCATGACACAGCAAACTGAAATTTCAATGATTAATCTACCAAAGAGATTACTTTTATTACTAAATTTTCTTCATAATGGAAATACAAACTAATGCATTTTAAGAACCCACACACAGTAATATTAGCTATTATAAAAGTGCTGTTGCCCTAGATGCCTGTTTACACTATTCCTCTAGTGAGGTTCCAAACACATGAAAAGCCCCATCATTATATACATGCAGTATAAGAAATCTCTAACATGCTGGTCCCTTTCATTCATGCTGATCCTAGCAATTTCAGTTAGCATATCCCAGCAAGGCCTCACATCATCTCACATCTCCATTAGAAGTTAGAATGGTATACTTTGAAAGAACCTTCACACAGCCTCCATCACACTGTGCTGTGGAACCTGTTCTGTTTTTACCAACATTTCCTGTAGCTATTATCCTACTATGTCTAGTAAAATACATCAGTGGACTATGTATAGAAAATGTATATATAAATGACTTAATACTACCCAGTTTCCAGCATCCAATGGAGGCCTCAGAATGTCCACAAGCAGTAAGGGAGGTCCATTACAAAAAAGCTTTTTCTGGTTTTGCTATAAAAATTTTATTCAGGGTTATACTATATGCAAATGTAAACAGAGTCCAGTGCACAGAGAAAGTTGAATCTGCTGTAATTTTCCTGTGTGTGAGCACAAACATATAACCCTGAAAGAAGCAAGACAGTGATCACTGGGGGACACACAGTCAATCCTACTTACTGTTGATGAGCCCAGTACCGATTTTGGAGACCTAATTATTCCAGCAATTGAATGACGAATAGATTCAAATTTGGATAGCCTCTCCTTTCGTTCCTAAAAGGGGTAAGAAGCAGCTATTAGCGGTAGCCATTAGCGGTAGCAAACCATTGAATGTTTACATTTTAACATTTAGGTATTATTTTATAGTTTAGTTTTCTAACTATGTCAAATATAAACTTCCTGGCATAACCAACACATGTAAAATTATAGCATTTTGCTCTTCTGGTCTCTCATTAAATGTCCTGATTTGGAAAAAGAACTATATAAATAATTTAATTGTGAATCCTGTGTAAGCCAAGTTAAGTCTCCATAAACCTCACTGATCGTGAGGGTCATGAAGGCAGTGACCAAGGGAGGGAGACCAGGTACACAGTTAGGAAGAGGTAGCAGAACCCTCTCAGCAGCCAGTCAGCCTGCACTTCTCCCTCCAGGTGTATTTCTGAATATTACATATCACAACAGAGAAACACTTTCTAAATCTTCAAATATTCGGATCTACTTTACCACTGCAAATGAATGGAGAGTACAGAAAATGGGACTTAAAAGAAGAAGGGAAAAAGGAGGTATAGAGAAGAAGGGTTGGAAAGAGGAAGAACTGGCCTGTAGCCCAGGACTGAGCCACATTCCAGCTGCTGGCCAGCAGCAGACAGAGAACAAGAGCACTGGCCATAGGGTGCAGCATCTCTACGGTTTCCTACCAGCAGGGAAGCTCAGTGCCCACTCCCTATGTGTTCCCAGAATCCACTATTAGTTTCTAAACCTCAGTGTGTCCCTGTCAACCTGCCCACTCCTACTGTTTCTACTTCTTCTAAGAGCAGCAAGAAAACAGTTCTAACTGGCGTACAAGCATATGAACATCAATCACTGGAAACAACTTAGCATAATCTTCTAATAGAACAGGCAATTTCTCCTTTTTCAACATTACTGTACTAACTTAGGATTTTATATAAATCACTATTTGTAGATCAATTTGACCACATATAAAACTAAAAAAAAAAATCTTGCTTAGACTTACAAGGGAATAGAAGTTGGTACTTTGAACATATGCATATTTAATATACTTTTAGAGAAATACATCATTCCCACTGTACAAATGATGATCCCTTGGGAATGTGGGGAGTTGTTCGGTAGCCTTAACCCAACCATGAGATACACATTAAATATATATATATATATATATAGAGAGAGAGAGAGAGAGATGCTAGAAAGTCTGAGAGAAAGAGCACTGAAAAACAAGACTATAGTGACCTTTGGCAAAGCATGCCCGCCCTCCTCATACTCAAATTGTTTGTATGTGTATGACTTGTTAACTATTAAATCTATTTTTGATGCTTCAGAAGTCTGCAGAAGTAAAACTGATTTAAAAAGAAAAAAGAAACAAAAAAGAAACCACATAGTCAGGACATAAGGCAGGGTACTGGTGAGCCAAGAAGGCATGCTGTGTGCAGGAATGAGCAGAGCACACGTGCTGGGGAGCACTGCAGAGGCTGGGCCTTCCACTCCCCAGAGAAACCCGCGCTTCCTCCCCTTCCTTTCTGGATCTGCTCTGAGTAGCTGGAGAAGGCACCTAGTCGCTGCAGCCACTGACAGAAAGATGACATGAAAGTGCTAACGTCACCTGTATGGCGGTGACAGCGGCACAGGAAAGCAGCGGGCACTTCTACTGCGCCTGCGCACGTTTCCTCTGGGCAGCTTTCTTCAGCTGCATACTAGAGGAAGCGTTATTCCAGTATGAGAGTACTCACAAGACACAACTGAAAACTGCACAGAGAAAGCAGAACCCAAAACTATAATTTTCTTCAAATAAAGGTTAAAAAAAATTCAGGGGAGAATTTTAAGTATGAAAAGCATTCTCAGTATATGAAATGACTAAACGTATTCATGTGGTAAACTGGAACGCCCACAGCATAACTGGGCATCCCACCCTAGAAAAGGAAGCCTTTCATTGAAACTCTGCAACATTTCCTCAAGAGGGTAATATTAGAATTATACCACAGTTTAGAACTGCATGAAAAATTAAAACAGGTGTGAGAAGAAACTGACTTCCAAGCCCACTTTCCTGACATTAAGTCAAAAAGTCCAAGAGCACACTGGCAAATACAGACTTTCTAAAATTTAAAGGCACTATTTAGATAGACTGATCTGAAAATATATCAGTAATCACAGTAATACTATCTTATGATTTAAGGATGAGTAATCAAAATGCAAATAGGATTTACAAAGTATCCTAGCCAGTTACTGCTTACTGGGTGCCCATATTTCTAAGAGTAAAACATCAAATTTGTTTGCCATGTCTTGTCTATGTAATATTCAATATCAGCTTTAAATTACAGTCTATCTAATAACACATCAGACTGTCCTGAATTTGACAGCTGATTTTCATAGGCAAGAATTAAATGGCTATCTAAAAGACAATAAATATGGAACGCTGTCTTCATTTCCGGTAGCTAGAGTGAAGTGTGCCTGCGCCAGGTTGCTGGTGGGGGCAGCGAGTTCATCCACCACCAGTGAAAACAAGATATGGAGTTTGCACAGGGGCAGATCATCTGGCAAAGAGACAGCTCCTCCCAGTGGAGGGAGGCAGGGAAACAGGAAAGCACGAGACAGCACCTCATGTTACCAAGATTCTGATGAGAAAATAACAGCCTTGACAGCCAAGTTCCACATGCAGAATGAGTTTCACACCTCGTTTAAGAATAGTTTTTAATAGTGTGAAATAAAATAAGTAAATTAATCAGATCTTGATGAGACACCCCCTCCCTCTCCTCCCACCCACCCTGGTTTCACTGTTGACTTTATGTCAAAGAATTAAAAGACTACTTATAGAAATTAAAGCTAAGAAGTTACCTTTTAAATCAATCACGAGAGAAACAATGCCTAACTACATCTATAAATCTATATGCATACACATATAAAACTAGACCATTTCACATTAACCATAAAAGTATCTGTTATCACCCATTATTGATATCTTCAGCCTCTATAGGAAACAACACCTAAAGCTTAGTCTTAACTTTCTGGGTTTCATGTGACTCAAGTTCTGCAGCAGGAGTGTCCTCTGTGGCCTGCTGCAGCGTGAGCAGACACACAAAGGGCAAGAATCACGGACTGGCAGAAACCAGAGGCCACTCCAAACGGCTACCTTGTTGCTGCAGAGAGAGATGACAGCACTCACTAAACCACACAGCGGTTCTCAAGCAAGGCCCTCGGAGAAGGGCTATGGTGGGAAACTGGAAGAGACATAAGACTGTACATCAGGCCAAATGACTAGGCTGTTCTCAGCCTCCCCAGCAGTTGGAGGAAGGCTCAAGACTAGAAAACTCCTGCTACTGAGGCCTCTGCCTGTGACTGTGAAGGACTGCATGGTCCAATACAGTGCAAGAGTATCAGCGCCAGGCACTGCCCGCAAAGGCCAGTCCTATTCCGCGCCCAGAGGCCCTCACACAGGTGCTGTCCACGAAGGTCAGTCCTATTCTTTGCCCAGGGGCCCTCACACAGGCATGAGGGGAGGAGTCAACTTTCAAAGTGGCTATGGGGATACATTTTTGTTTATAATGTGTCATTAAAACAGTAACTCAATGCTATTTCCGGCAGACTTCTGTAAATGAGCCCAATCTCATGACATTCTTTGAAGAAACAACCTGCCCTAGAGGAACAGTCAAACCTGGAGCCTGAAGAATCAAGAAAAAGATGACAGCCACACTCAGAACGCTAGGCTGAGAGCCAAAATTCTTAGGGACTTCTTAAGCAAAGTCGGCATGGAATTTGAAGGGATGGTGCTGAGAAATACCTGCGAGGACATTACACCACAGAGAAGATTGCCCAAGAAAGTCAATGCTGACGATGACCATAAGGTACAGGAAATACCTTAAATATCAGCAAATCCCTTTTGAAAAGGAATGCACTTACGCATAAGCAAATGACTTGATCTTTTAAAAGGAATACACTTACACATAAACAAATAACTCCATCTTATGCAGATGTTGATTTTCCTTGGAAGAATGAAAAATAGATGATTTTGTTTCAACAGGGTTTAGAATTTAAGTATTAAAAGTTTCAGGATGACTTGTTTGACAATTGCTTCACACTGAAGGGGCTGAGGCACTCAGTGCCCAGTCACCAAGTTGAAAATGCCATATCATCCTCTGATGTTTGCATATTAAGGATATTTATTAAAAGAAACACAGTCAGCTTGATAAAGTCAAGTATCTTTATACCCACCAAAACCTAAATTAAGCCACAAATGTACAAAGGGAAAGTGTGATGATTTTAAAAAGACATCATTGTAAAGTAGCGATGCTCGGGGCACTGAAAGCTAAGCTGTAAAATGTTAAAATTATTTTTCTTCCTTTCTTAGTCTAAGGCAGCTGCAGAAGATGATGCCCCTGGGTAAGCCAGGCTCTAACAGGCTCCCCTCCTACTTAACACCCAGACACAGCTCAGGCTCTCCAGTGCTTCTCCTAAACGTGTAACCAAAATCCCTAATAATACTTCTCCTCCTCCTCTTCTTCTCCTTCTGACTATTATATTTAGAGCAAATTTAGATACACAGTAAGGTAGACATATTGCTCGCAGACTCCCCACATCAACTGACTTAGGCCAGGGTGACACAGCACAGTCACTCAGAGTTCACGGTTGGGATGAGGTGAGCTCTCCTCTGGGATACTCTGAGTTTTCAGCACTGCAGGATCAAACAGGAATGTCACCGCCCGAAACTCTGTGCTTGGCACATTCACTCCTCCTCCCCAGGGCACCATGTGGAAACACGACCCACAAGTGTGAGGTGCTACATTTCCACCCCTTCTTGAGGAACACCTCCCTGGTCCCATGGCTCAAGTGCTGAGGGGCTCTGCTGTGTGTGTGTGTGTGTGTGTGTGTGTGTGTATGACTTAATGTCTAGATTCAGTGAAACTAATCAAGGAAGGGCATAATAAAACATAAAATTCTTCTACTTTCCTTAAAGGATCATTGAAACAAGAAACACAAGTACCCAGAGTAGCCATGTTGTGTGAGCCATATGTGTAATCAAGCACTTTATCAACATCACCTACTCT